TCTTGGTCCAAGTATTTCATATAAGCATGATCAAGTGTTCTGGGGTTCCCATTTTCCTCAAGGTTAGCCACAATTTATTGTGATTCACACAGTAAAATGCCTTTGTATAACCAATGAAGCACAGAAAGACATTCTTCCAGCACTCTCTGCTTTCTGCCAACGTACATCTGACAATGGCAATAATGTCCCTAGTGCCACAAACTCTTCTAAATGCAGCCTGTATTTCAAATAGTTCTCTGTCAATGTACTGTTTAAGTCTTTTCTGGATAATCTTCAGCAGGATTTTGCTAGTGTATAATATTAGTGATACTGTTTGATAATTTCCACACTCTGTCGGGTCTCCTTTTTTTTTGAAATGGGAATAAATATGGATCTCTTTTAGTCATTTGGTCAAGTAGTTGTCCTCCAGATTTCTTGGCATACCTGAGCTCATGTAGGGGAGCATCTGTTTGCTGAAATACATCAGCTGGTATTGAATCAATTCCAAATATGAGACAAAATAATTTTCCACTTATTTATTTAATTTTTAATTTTTCACTTTATAATGTTCTAAAATGTGATGGTTACTTCAGCATTTTGATATTCCAGGTATTTTGAAGCATGCTTCTATCTTCTTTTCTGTAAACTGTTCTTTAGTATGGACTATTTCAAGAATGAATGAATAAACCCCCATAGTGCAGTAGTTATATTGCTTGACCACAGGTCAAAAATGGTGAGTGGCTTGAATCCAGCCAGCCACTCACAAGGAGAAGTGAAAGTCTTCTCTTTGGAGATTGAGAATACAGCTAGTATGATAAATTGAATTGTATTTCCCCTAAAAAAGTTATTCTGAAGTCCCATTGCCTGTACCCATAAATATATCCAGTTAGAAATAAAAGTTTCTTTCTCAGTTTTAATGAGATCATACTAAAGTAGAATAGTGGCTACACTATTCCTTCTCGGTTCTAATCCTGCAAAAAGAACAGAGTGGACACATGTTGTTATACACCATCGAGTCAGAACCAACCCATAGCTGATGCTCCAGAAGATTTTCAGAGGCATTAAATCTCTCAGGAGATTGCCTGTCCTTCTTATACAGAGTAGCTGGTGGATTTGCACTGCGTGCCTGTGGGTTTGCACAGGGGTGGTGCCACAGAGGTAGTAAAATGTCCAGAATTGCAGCCATCATCAGAAACTAAGAA